AAATAGTCGCCAGTGCTTCACCACATTAATCGATCGGCTAAATGCTCGTTCGATCACATGTAGTTGATCGAATGATCTATGAGCGTTCAATTTTCACGAATAGCTTTTGTCGTTAACTGCAATTTAATTTACGTTCATCTTTAGTGGCTTGTGAGAGAATTGATGGTTGACACCTGCACATTTAATTATTTTAATTATGAAAATAACAATTTTGTTATCGTGAATTTTTCATCTCTTTTATCATAAAACAAAGTTTTGCCAAATGAAAAAAAATAAACTCTTTTTTAAGATTTTGAAAAATTCCAGATTTCACAATTTCGGATATTTTACAAGTCTAATTTTTGAATATTTCAAAAACTATTAACACTTACAAAAATGATTCTGATATTTACGACTATAAAAAATATATAAAAATATCGAGAAATAAAATATTTACAGAATTTAAAAATTAAAAAGTCGTAAAAAATTTTTGACTAAATTTGTGTACAATATCCAACTCCAACTGAATTTAAAATTCTCAAGAAGGTGTTTTTTTAATTTTAAGAAAAATTATATTCCTTTAAAACTCTATATAAAGTTATCTTAAACAATTTTTATTCATTTTACATTTTTAGTTTAGAGTTTGCAGTATTTTTTTCAAAGTTCAAAATTCATACCTGTAAAAAACACCTTGCGAATATCACGCTTTTTTAAGTTCAGTTAGAAGTACATATTGTATAAAAAAAATTTAGCAGAAAATGTGTTAAATGAACAAATTAAATTTTTTTCGAATTTCTAAGTTTCAAAATTTCGGGAGATTTTATTTTTGAATGTCTCAAAAACTATAACATTTAAAAAGTGGTTCTGCTCTCATACTAATTGAGAAATTTAGGGCTACCAAAAATTAAAAAAAAATCGAGAAGTATTTCTTCCATGAAAAATAGCTTCTCATGNGAAATGCTTGAAACTTCAATATTTCGAAATTGAAGGACGCTAATTTACTCAAAATAGATACACCCCGGCTTACCATCTAGCGGTAGGTTTCGGAAATGTGAAAAAACACATATTTAATACTTGCGCCGGGTATTTAATGTTCGGCTCCGCCCGAACTTAGACTTTCTTACTTGTTATTATTATTATTATTTGCAATTTTTAGAGATATCTCGATCTGACGATTTTGAAAAAAGAACTTGGTAACTTGAATGAATCCGAAAATTATGTGTTTTTTGAGGCAACATAGTGTATTGGTTTCAATTTATACTATGTTGCCTACTTAGGGCCATCTCTCCACAATCATCTGCTAGACGTAGGTCAACACAAGCGTTATTGATTTAAAAACCATTCGTTTGAGAATGGATACAACTGAATCGCTTGGGTGCAATCTTTCACAAAAGCTTACAATTTCCGGCGTATGCCAACGACATCGCAGCATCAGCAAAAATAGGCGCTACGTCTGTTCTGCCTTCTCGAAATTAGCTGGAGGATAAAACGAAGTATTTCCTGTCATCAGACAAACAATCAGAGCATAAGCGTCTCGGCACCCACGTCACTGCTGACACCAAAAATAATGTCAGCCTTTGAATCCAACGGAGAATCACTCTTGCCAATAAGTGCTACTTTGAACCAGTGATGAAATTCACGGTACAATTGTACTTCTTTGGTACATTTTGGAAGCCAAAAGTAAATTGGTACTACATTGACATTTTTGTCAAGATACGGTACTGCAGCACAATTATGTCGAAATACCACACTCTATTTACTTGGAGTTTTGAATTTTTGTGCATAAAAATATAGTCTTATTTTTCTACCATATTTAAGTATTATTAAAAACGAAACTCTTACTTAAATCAAAAAAAAAAAAGTTGCTGTCATAATAGGTCTATTCATAAAATTTTCCAGTAAGTACTAGCAGCCAGAGAATAAAATAATCATAGCGAGTAAAATTGAGGGGAAGTCCAAAATATGAGAAAAATTTATTGAACGCAAAACCAGTAAAAACGTGCAACTTACGCCATTCTGACTTTCTGATACAAAATCATCTCCACATTTCTCCACACAAAATCATCCAGCAGCAAAAATTCTGATCAGTTTGCAAAATTTTAAAAAAACTTGCAATCCTCGAAACAGCTGATAGGTGGTTCATTTGGTAATTTATTATCCGCTTGGTGCATTGTCCCCAACTTGAAATTTGTTTACTATTGAATACTTTTGTATAGGAAAAATGTTTTTAACATATAAATGAATTATTTCGGAATGAATAAGTTTTTTTGATACTACATTATGACGCGATCGAAAATAAAAGAATCCCCTTCAAGCACCCATCCTTGTTTCACAAAACCATATATAGCTACAAACGTGCCTTTAAAATTATCCCATTTTCATTTTAACGATCAACTGACAAATTCGACCAGAACCTTTCAGCATTATTATCTATTTTGGTATATTTCTGGGAAAAATATGGTACAATTGAAAAATTTTATACAGCAGCCATAGTTGACGCATGGAAATTAGAAAATTAGAGATTAATAGTAAATTAACTAAACTGAACTTTTCTTCCTTTCTTTTGTTTATTCACGAACACATGTTTGTGGTCAACAGACTTTTTTACTTGTAAGTTTTCGCAGGTAAAATTTTTCCAGCAGAAAGTGGCAGATTTCAGTGTCACTTTGCGCTCTCGATTTCCCCCACTTTGCAAGATTTTATGTACGAGAGCACTGCTACATATTAACTTGTTTATTTCTATAAAAGGAAATATCTTTGTAAAACGTCCATTCCGTTAAATGCAACGATTTTTTTTTGAAAATTTTGGTATTACTAGCACTTAGATAATAATATAACTTTTATGCTTTTGTTGATTACCTTGGCGTTTTGGTGGCCTTTTCAAACAATTGATTTGCACTTATGTTTTCCACCTTCGACACGCCATGTTTTATATCATGATTTTTATACAGAAAATCTAAAAACATATGTATATGTTACTATGTATGTATGGTCTTTTAAATGTTGGTACTTTCTCGGCTTATTTAGTTCACTTTTTTTGGTAATTTGGCACAAAATTAAAAAAAAAACACATTTATCATCCCAGCTTTGAACTACAATAAAAGACAAGTGAGAAGCAATGCCCTCTCTCGTCGTGGTGGTGTGTAGTGCAGAAGCATAAAAAAGCTTATACAAATTAAAGATTTACGGGTCTTTCCGTGTTGGCGATGGCAAATTCCACAGAAGAGAACGCGCTTTGGTGGACTCGACCAGAATCGATTAGGCGGCTATAGCGCCATTCAAGAAGAAGAAGGTATACATTTGTTGGGGGATCTTATTCAATATCATAACTTTAATTTCGGGTCGGTGATATTTTGTAAGCCTTTATATATTACTAGTGATGTGCTCAGTCAATACTTTTACGTATTGATCGATATTCGGTACCGATTTAAAAAGTATCCAGTACTCTCGATACTCGGTACCGAAACATTTACATAGGTCTCGAATAAAAGCGCACATAGGCCAAAAATATGTAAAAAATGGTTCAGGGGAGACTCGCCTATCAAAATCCGAATGTAGAAGCCAATAGAGCTTTTAATACTGATTCAAATGAACGATGTATATACAAATGTCGGTTCGAGGCCATAATGCTGAGAAACTCTTACTTGTTTGAAGCATCTTTTTTGGTTTTGCTGACGTATGATATGAAATATTTCTACGTCAACAAGTGCGATATCGGCCCGAAACTTGTCGCTAACTGGCTCCTGAAAGGCTTCTTCATCCATCAAAGCATTTTTCTTGAACCTCGGATCGACTAATGTTAAAATTGATAAAATAATATTTCTCTGTTGCGGTAAGTTCAAGTGTTTTAGTCGATGTCATATAAATTAGTAATGTTTTTTCTAAAGTTTTTTAAATTTTAATTTTTTAAGTTTTTTTTTAAATTAGTAAGTTTTTTAGAAACTTGAAATGCATATAATGGCGAAGGTTTAATGTAAAGAATCGGTATCGGGTAGCGAAAAGGAAGTTTTGGGTACCGAAATCTTTTTTTAGGTATTGGGTACCGAGTATTGGGTACCGAAAATTCTGCACATCACTACATATCACTTCCAGCGCAGTACCGCTCTTTAGAGTTCAGTGCTGTTGGCTCCAGTTCAGAAGTGTTCCGAATTTTTCTTTTTGTTTTTTAATAAATGTGGGTAAAGTTTGCACAACACACCCCTCAGCAACATTTATCTTGGTTTACAGTTTAATACAAAATACCTCCAAAATCTTGAAGATACTTTTATGCCGCCCCATCTTACACTTAACTAAATAAAAAGCTTTTAAAAAATGACGAAGGAAATACATTTAATTATCATCTTAGCGCTTGCAGATACAACGCCAAGGTTTAGTTCGGTATATACCGGTGTTTGCCTTTTTCCCAATATAATATCGACACCTGAGTAGAAGAGCGACCTATCTCGGCAGCCAGTTCGAAAATGCCCTATCTCAGAAAACTTTTCAAAACCACCCTATTTCAGAATTCGGTTAAAAAATGCCCCATCTCAACTCATTTTCAATACATTTTCCAGTGAGATAGGGTATTTTTGATTGAGCCGAATTATGAGATCGGGCGTTCTTCAATCAAATTCGAAGATAGGGTGTTTTTCAAAAAATGTTTGAAATGGGACGTTCTTGAAAAGTTTTTTGAGAACTGGCTGCCGAGATAGGTCGATCTTCCACTCAGGTGTCGATTTTTAGATGTTTCGATAAATTAAAAAATCTTGGCATTTCACACATTTGCTACGGGCTTGGCCAAACTTCTCCTTCTGTTTGTGGTGTGCCGATTTGTGTGACCTACAGAAGATTTCTCATGGTCGAAATGGATTCGGAGGTTCAATTTTTTATGCCGTGGTGGCGACGGCTATTGGTTAAAAACGTTTTCTTTTTTTGATGGTGGGCGGGCCTGGAATCGAACCTGGATCCAGCCGCTCAACGACTGAAACTGCCCGCTGATTTAAGAAGCTTGTTTAAGAAGCTATTATTTTGATTAAACTTACTCTTGTTGGAAAAGGCCGCTGGCCCCTCAAAGCCTCATGCAAACCGGAAGCAGCCTCCGAAAGTACGACTAAAGCTTGTGACGGCAAATGGCTGCTTCCAAATGCGTTGCTTTCCATACTATGCGCGCGCGTCGGCAAACGCTCGCAACGAAATGGAAAATTTAATGAGCACTTTGTTTTTTTTACCGACGATTTGCGTGTTTCTTATTTTTAGCAAATTTTTTTCACACTTGTTTAAGTATACATAAAAACAATAAGATTGGGCGTTTCAGCGCGTCAATACAATTCACGTACATGGCGACGGTTAAAATTTAGCGCGGACATATTCACTATTTTACACTTTCATAAACGAATAGATATTTATTGCGGTTAAGCTTGAAAGAGTCGCGCAAACACATTAGCAAGTGTTGAGATTTAGATATTTTTAAATATAATATATATTTTATTTTACACTAATTTTATTGATTACTATTTTTTGTTTCATTTAAGCTTTTATTATTCTATTTTTTATAATTTTTTTTTTTTTGAATTTTTTATTGGCACATTAAGAATTTTCTCGCGTAAATAAATTTTGTTGCGCGCACGAACTGGCTTACTGACGTCGTTGCTGTCTGTCGGTTGACGTTTAGGTTGGCGATGTTGCATGAATTTAATTACTGCCTGCCACTAAACACTGCACCGAACTAACTGCAGCGCAGTTAATTAATTTCATGTTATGTATTATTATTTTTTTCACGTTAGTATACATGGTACTAAGTAGGCAATGCATATAAATATATATATATATATATAGGTACATCTGAGTACATACATATGTCATTATATATGTATGTATGTATGCATTTATGACAAACTTTCTTGCTCACTCCACCTATTATAGCCAATATACGTTGATGCATATGTATTTACTTTTCGATTTTTTCATGCTTTATTTTCTTCTTCTTGTTCTGCTATTCAATACGTTTTCCCGTGCAAATCCGTACAAACGCCTGTGACACCCGCGTGCATGCAATTTCTGCGCTAAACTGAATTGCCGCTGAGTAACCTGCAGTCAATGTAGCCACATAGCAAAACCTGTTCCAAGTTCTTGTCATGTTGTTGTTGCTGCTGTAGCTGGTTATGAGACCGGGGCCATACTTGCGCACTGCGCCCATTTACTAAGCGGCTATATAGCGCAAGCGAAGGGGTGTTCGGCAACGCCTTTTTGACTCAGCGGGGAAAGTCAAGCACGTCCGATTGGCTGTTGGCCTATTGGTATGTGTTAGCTGTTCATATTTACTTACATTTATATATGAACACCAGCTGTGGCCACCGTGAGCCCAATTCGACGCACTGACTCGCTCACACTCAGTCCGCTTTCACTTTGCTGCATATTTAGTGCCAACTTTGAGTTCCTCGATAAAAACACATGGACTAGTACATATATAATATATATGTATATATACATATGTACATACATATATATAGCGATATGAAAGCATTGAAGTACACGCTTGAATGACCTTATTTTGTTTGGGTGTGAGTGTGTGTGCGTATGTACTACAAAAGATAGCTAGTCCACCGCCGCCATCAGGCACCAGTTGTATTCCTCCTCCGTATGTTTCGCTTCATTTACTTTTCATGATTTTACGAGCCTTTTGTTTGTTTACATCTTATTATTGTTGTTGCATGTTGTATTTGTTGTATTTCTATATGTTAGCTGTGTTGCTTGCTCTTGTCATTGTTGTTGCTGCTGTTCAGTGAAGCGTGCGTATGTGCAATTGCCCTCTATGACCACCTTTCGTCCCGCCCCCTCGCCGCCCACACACACACACAAACACTTTGGAAATTTGCATTTAATGTTTATTCCGACTGTCAGTTGTTTCTCCAAAATGTTTGTTTGCCACCAGCGTTGCCATTTTAGCCGTTTTCCGGCTAGATTTAGCCGGTTTTGATAGCAACTAGCCGGAGAAAATTCGATCTAGCCGGCAGCCGATTTGNTTTTAATGAACTCAATGTTTTACTTTCGCATCTATGCTCCCTAGTGGTTATTAGCGCGGACACATTTGATCCTATATGCTCCCCGTTGGAACCATACCTTGCTCCATTTCATCAGTTTTATCACAGTTTTGAAGAGTATTTAAAAACAAAAGTAAGCACAAACGCTTTTGACCACGAAGCTGAGAAAATAATTCGAGAAAATGGTCGCTACTTTATTATCACTTTAATAAAGGAATTACGTCAACGCCTCCCTACATATATTGCCACACTAAAAAAAATTGACTTTTTTCGGTTGGAAATGCATTA